AAACATAGTCTTCTGATCTAAATCTAGATCTAGATCTCTTGGTCCAAATAAGCGGGGTGGGAACTCAGTTTCCTTGTTATTTCACACGGACATTGTAGTCATTGTAGTAAAACTAGAAGACCTGTGCAATAGCAAAACTGGTAGCGTGTAGACAAAAAATAATTAATGAAATAAACAGCACTGTCCAGATCTACTGTCTAGAATAGATATCTGGTGGTTGGACGGAGAACCCTTCGATATCGATAGGATTTCTTGTTTCACGCTCAGTTTCCACGTGAAGTTGACAGAATGCCGGCCATCCTCTCGATATCCTACAGTTTGTCGATCAGCGAACTGTACGTCTAAATGGGGCTTAACACAATATTGGCAAAGAATAGCGTAGGTCTACAGCGTTTATTTTTAGACTGCCTTCTGTGGTCTATGTTTCGGCACTATCCGTCAGGAGCACATTTGAGATGTGCCGTCTTATTAATATTAATGTACCGCCAAACTCGCTACGAGTGTAGCCTTCGCTTGGGTTATCCCCAAGAGCGAATTATAGGTCAAGTTACACTGTTGACTATCCTATTATGTTTAGCTGAAGCGCGTGGACTTTGGCATGGCATAGTAGATGTTTTACGGCGCTATAGACACAGAAATGACAATTTTAGCGCCAGTGAGGACCTTGTTTTTGATATAATACTTGGCTAGTGTTTGTTTCTGACTTCTTTTATTTTATTATTTTGCGGTTTTTACATAATAGAACATTTTAAAAATTGGGTGGCACTACACGACCGTCCTCTATAGACGAACCGCGGCTGGGATGTGCCGAGTACTAACGTAGATGACTAGTGAAAGATATTTCACTCGTCAGCTGGTCCCTCTTCGCATCATGTTTTTTACGCGAGATCGGTGACACAGTGCCTCAAAACTATGTCACGCCGTACATTTCATCGTCTGCTCCTCTCAAAGTCACTTCCCCTTGTAATTTCCTATAGGGACAGGAGGAGGAGCGAGGAGTCATCTCAGTCAATACGTCGGAAGTAGCAGTATGTGGTGAAGTTGGTCAATAAATGTGCGCATAATTAATCAATTCATCAAATTTATGCTCCAGTGAAGGAAGAGGAAGCAGAGTTTTTAGTTAGTTTTTTTACTTATGGACCCGTTAGGATTGATATTTATTTTAAAACAATTCATTTGCAATGGTTTTTGTGGCCATATGTGTGTTCTACAGCAAAAAGTATGGCAGTTTAGCCCTCAAATCTATGCATCTATGTGTGGGTGCATAAGTAGAAATTTACTACCGTTTTTTAA